GGCCCAAAACGCTCCCACGGGGCCGGGAGAGACCGTAAGTCGGTGGGGAGCCCGTGGGGATGGAGGACGCCCCGTCCGGGGCCTGGGCCGATACAGCCGCCTGGGCAGCCGGCGGGGCGCTGGCACCCCAGAAAGGCTTTTGGGGGGGACGGGGACAACACAGGACGGTCCCTCTGCAGGGACATTGTGCTCTGTCCCCCTGCCAGGCCGTGGGGCACCGTGAGGACGAGAGGACGGCGTGAGCTCAGCACGACCGTGGGCCCCTCTGCCCTGGCCCCTGGGGTACCCATGGGCAGCACCCCCAGCCGGGGGGCACCCACCACCCCACTGCCCTCTGTTCCCCAAAGGAGCCCCAGAGAGGAGCAGGAGGGCCCTGCAGCAGGCAGAGAGACACGCCTGAGAGTGGTGCTGAGGTAAGAGGGGGACGCGAAGGGCTCGGGGACGCGCTGGGGACCAGCATCGATCCTGCCCGGGGCAGGGGCACAGCGGGGCTCCCTGGGGTCCCTGTGCAGAGGTACCTCTGTGTCCCTGTTCACCCCCCTCCCCGCTATTTAGGGTCCGGCCACTGACCTGCGCAGAGACACAGCGAGGTGACCAGCAGGTTGTGCACAGCCTCGGCGACGGCACCATCCACGTAAGGGCCACCTCCCCGCCGGGGAGTCGCGGGGTGCTGCAGCACCCCCTGAGCCACCCCTGTCCCCGCGCCCAGGTGAGCGCGGCCAGGCACGATGCCACCTTCGGGTTCAGCGCCGTCTTCGACGCGGGGGCCTCGCAGGAGGCCGTGTTCGAGGGCAGTGGGATGAGGCAGCTGGTGGAGCTGGCGATAGATGGGTGAGTCCCAGTGAGCCCCCCACGGACCCCAGCCCTCCAGCTCGCCCCACGCCCGCTGCGCTGCATCAATCTGGGCCTTGCCGGTGGGTCTGCGTTGCCAGGGCCATGCCGGGAGGTGGCATCCCTGTGCCACCGCCTGGGGCCGTGCCTGAGGCTCAGCATCTTCCTCAGCTTCTCCTGCACCGTCTTTGCCTTCGGGCAGACCGGCTCGGGGAAGACCTACACCCTGATGGGACCCCTCACCCAGGTACAACGCCGTCCCCCCACACCTGACCTGATCATGACGGCGGGATGGGCTCCTTTCACCCGGTGGTGGTGGGAGCAGGTGGGTGCCCAATGCGGTGTGATCGTTCACCGTTCTGGCATCGCCGCAGAGCGAGACCCAGCCGGCGGCCCCGGGGCTGCTGGGGCTGATGCAGAGATCCTTCGCCTGCCTCCTGGAGCAGAGCCGGAGCCGCAGCTCTGACCTGGCCCTCAGTGCCTCCTACCTGGAGATCTACAACGAGCAGGTAAGTGCCTGCCCAGACCAACCCCGCTGGGACCCCGTGCCCTTGCTCCCCTGGTGCCTCCTCTCTGCCATACCTCCACCCAGGTCCGGGACCTGCTGAGGCCGGGGCCGCCGTGCGCCCTGCCCCTGCGGTGGAGCAAAACCCGCGGCTTCTACGTGGAGAACCAGCTCAGCGTGGACTTCGAGAGCCTGGAGGCCATCGCCGACCTGCTCCTGCAAGGTGCTGAGCCACAGGCACAGGGCTGGGGCATGTTCAGGGGGTGCCAGACCCGGTATGGGGGGGACTCAGCCCCCCACAGACCATCCCCAGGGCTGGTAGGTCTTTGATGGCAGCCAAGAGGGGCAGCTCATCCTGCTGGAGAGCCCAGGTGGGCTTGTGTCTGGCAGGGGTGGGCAGTGGGTGCTGTGCTGGGGTGTGGGGTGTCATGACCCCCTGCAGCTCTCAGTCCCCCCCTGGCAGGATCCCAGAGGCGACGGACCTCGGCGCACGCCCTCAACAGGCACTCGAGCCGCAGCCACGCTCTTCTGACCATCCACGTCCGCCACCGGGCTGTGAGCACGCATCCTGCTCCCGGGGAAGGGCTTGGGGGGTCTGGGGATCTTTGTGAGGGTGCAAACAGTCCCAGGGAGGGGGGTGCTGCACATCCTCCTCCCCAGAGATGCATTGGTGGCGCTGGGGTGAGCAGCAGAGGGGCTGGGACGCTGCTGTGGGCCACAGGGATTGGGCGAGGGGGGGCCAGAGCATCGCCTCCCCCAACGTGAGTCCCCCCAGCCCAGCGCCTGCCCCAGCAAGCAGGGCACGCTGTGCTTTGTGGACCTGGCCGGCAGCGAGCGGGTGAAGGAGACCGGCTCCAGTGGGGAGCTCTCTGTGGAGGCCAACAACATCAACCGCAGCCTCCTAGCGCTGGGTAAGAGTTGGGGGACCCCCCGCCCGTGGGAGCATGAGCTGCTGGTCCCCGTCAGAGCCCTGTTGCACGCTCTGTGGCCCATCCTCTGGCAGGTCACTGCATCTCTCTGTTGGCCAAACCCCGAGGGAAGCGGACGCACATCCCCTACCGAGACAGCAAGCTCACCCGGCTGCTGGCCCGCTCCCTGGGTGGCTCGGGCATCACCCTGATGGTACGTGCGTGGAGGAGGCTGGGCG